GACATCCTGGGATAGAGCCCCACAATGGGCTCCCTGCTCAGCGGGGAGTCAGCTTCTCCGTCTCCCCCTGCTCATGCTCTCTCTTCTCAGATAAAATCTTTAAAAAAAGAATTAAAAAATACAGGTTTTTCAGAGTGTGCCATTCTCCATAAAGACACTCATACATTTGCTCTTACTTCAACAAACCAAGTATAATGTTTGGAATCCCATTACAACAAACTATGGCATTGGATGTGGAGAAAGGGGAACCCTCCTACACTGTTGGTGGGAATGCAAGCTGGTGCAACCACTCTGGAAAACAGTATGGAGGTTCCTCAAACAGTTGAAAATAGAGCTACCATACAATCCAGCAATTGCACTACTGGGTATTGACCCCAAAGATACAAATGTAGGGATCTGAAGGGGTACGTGCACCCCAATGTTTATAACAGCAATGTCCACAATAGTCAAACTGTGGAAAGAGTCAAGATGTCCATCGACAGATGAATGGGTAAAGAAGATGTAGTATATATACACAATGGAATATTATGCAGCCATCAAAAGGAATGAGATCTTGCCATTTGCAATGACGTGGCTAGAACTGGAGGGTGTTATGCTGAGTGAAATAAGTCAATCAGAGAAAGACATGTATCATATGACCTCACTGATATGACGAATTCTTAATCTCAGGAAACAAACTGAGTGTTGCTGGAGTGGTGGGGGGGGGGGGGGATGGGGTGGCTGGGTGATAGACATTGGGGAGGGTATGTGCTATGGTGAGCGCTGTGAATTGTGCAAGACTGTTGAATCACAGATCTGTACCTCTGAAACAAATAATGCAACAAATGTTAAGAAAAAAGAAAAAGAAGATAGCAGGAGGGGAAGAATGAAGGGGATTAAGTCGGAGGGGGAGACGAACCTTGAGAGACGATGGACTCTGAAAAACAAACTGAGGGTTCTAGAGGGGAGGAGGGTGGGGGGATGGGTTAGTCTGGTGATGGGTATTAAAGAGAGCAGATTCTGCGTGGAGCACTGGGTGTTATGCACAAACAATGAATCATGGAACACTACATCAAGAACTAATGATGTAATGTATGGTGATTAACATAACAATAAAAAATTAAAAAAAACAACAAACTATGGCATCACCCAAAAGTTTTGTTTTTTTTTTTAAGATTTTATTTATTTGACAGCAAGAGAGCACAAGCAGGGGGAGAGCAGGAGAGGGAGAAGCAGGCTCCGCACTGACTGAGCAGGGAGCCCAACACGGGGCTCGATCCCAAGACCCTGGGATCATGACCTGAGCCAAAGGCAGACGCTTAGCTGACTGAGCCACCCAGGTGCCCCACCATCACCCAGAAGTTTTGAAGGGAATCTCTGGGCACAGGCATGACATCTAATGGTAACCCTCTAGGAAAGTAACAGGCTAGGTGATAGTTTCTGCCATACAATATTTGAGGGTGCATTATTTGCATTTGTTGGGATTGAATAACCTGTTCATAGATAAAAAAAAAAAAATACAAATGTGACTAAGCCTATCATCTGAGCCTTCCTGAAAACTCCTACCGAGTGTTCCACAGGATGGACTTAGTAGCCCTGGTAATTTCAAAGACAACCAAAGGACCAGCCCAGCTACACCGTCTGTGGCAGATTTCCCCGCTAACCATAGAAATGCACCACCCCACTGTTCCGGTTCCTGTATCGTAAGCTCATAGGGTACTCTGTACTTCTCCTTCATAGCATTTTACAATTGTAATGACAAAACTCAGTATTCATTTTATTAATGTCTGTCTTCCATGTGAAAGTCCCAGAAAGGCAAGGTTCTCACTGTACCCTTCTCAGTATCCTTGCCTTTACACAGCAGGTTGAGGCATGGGGAGGTGTTTATGGAATAAAATAATACTCAGCTACACAGCCACTATATGAAAAGTGAAGCCATCTGAGAATACTAGGTATAGACAACAATGCGGAGAAATGAGAATGATCATACGCTGGATGTGTAAAATGGGACGACCACTTTGGAGATTTGATATTTTTCTGATAAGCATACCATAGGACCTAAAAATATATAGAGAAAAAAATATATATATATACACAGATTTATGTACACTTGATTATACGTATGGGAATGTTCATAGCAGCATTGGTCATAGCTGCCCCCAAACTGGAAACAACCCAATTTCCACCAACAGTGAAATAAACTAGTGAACTATCACAAATTCATGCATGGAATACTACATGGCAATGAAAACGACTGAAAGCATCACGTAACAACACAAATGATTCTCAACAAAAAAGCAAACCCAAAACACCGCGCACAGAATACATGTGGTATTATTTCATTCATACAGAGGCAAAAGACAAGCCAGACTGAATGATGCACTTTAGGGATACAAAGTAAGTTTCAAGTCCTCCCAAACGTTCAAAGAACAGACCGCATTAGTTAGGACAGGAACACGGAGGAGGCAAGAAAAGGGCAGAAGATCCAGTAAGAAGTTACTGCAATTTAGCTGAGTCTGCCAGTCAGGAGCTGAGGGGCCTGAGCCGGGGAGTGAGCAGTGGGGACTGAGAGGAGGAGGGAACGAAAGAGAGATACAACAGACAGAACCGACGGCAGAACAGGCACAAGACGTAAGGTGAGGACGGTGCCAAGGAAAAGTCCCTTATCGCAAGGAGGGGAGACAAGAAAAAGACTACAAATCTGCAAGTTACAGTATGTACAATACAGCCATGATTTCGATGTTAAGAGGGTGTGAAGTTACTCTAAAAATACATTCAGTATCAAGAAGAATAAAAAACTGCAATGGATTTAAAGCACGGGAAATGTTAAAAGTCATGAGTTCATCACAAAACAGTAACACAAAAGGAAAAGGAGATGAAGTATTCCACAAGTTCTAGCAATGCTGGGAAAGTGGTAAAAAATTAACTATGGCAAAGATGCACGTTGCAGTCTCTGGAGTAACTTCTAAGAGACTTTGAAACTAACAATACAATAGATGCAAAAAGAAAAATATTTGATACAAAAGAAGGCAAGAAAGAAAAAGGAATGTAAAATAGGAGGGTCACATAGACAGAGTAGGAAGACAGAAACATACTGCCATTTTATTGTACCTGTTAACACCACAGGATGCCTCCAGAATGTGGGAAATTCTACAGGACAAACATGATTTCTTCAATAACTAACTTGCAAAAAAAAAAAAAAAAAAAAAAAGGAAGGGAGGGGGAGCGGGGGGGGGTAACTTACGGACTGAGACAAAACTGGCTAAAGGCAGTGTGTGGATGATGTTTAGATCTTTTGAATAAACAAACAACAAAAAAAAAAAAAAAAAAAGAAGTATGACATAACCAGAGAAACCTGAACACTAAGGGAATATCGGTTTAAAGGAATTATGATAATGGTATGGTGCTTTTGTTTTTAAAAAAAAAAAAAAAGATGTCTCACCGTTTAGAAATATGTTACAAAGTGATGAAGAAACTATAAAGGAAATAAGTCATCTGAGATTTGCTTAAAAATGACCAGGTCGGCAAGGGCGGGGAGGAGGCATGAAACAAGAAACGACCAAGATGGGCCGGTGTGTTAACAACCACAGTAACACCCGTGTGGGATTTGCTCTCCTCTTCTACTTCCGTATTCATCTGGATTTTACTGGAATATAAAATACAAAGGGACAGAAGGAAAAAGGGAGGGAGGAAAGGTCTCCAGACAGAAAAGCATGTGTAGAAAATGTTTTGGCAGGATACATTTCAAAATGTTCAAGTAGTTCTCTCTGGGCAAATGTGATCACAATTTTTAGAAAATGTTACAAATTTATCATCTCCGGGTGGGGAGATCACTAGTAACTTTTACTCTCTTTTTTCTCTTTTTGCTTAGCTATGTTTTCTAGCTGTTTCTACAATGAACAAATCAGAACGTTGATTCAAAAACGGTTTAAAAGGACAGGAGAAAGACTGCCAAAAACAAAGGGCCTCCCACTTAAATTCACATTTCTTCATCGTGTCTGGGTCCCAGTTCCTTTGCAGAACCAATGAGAGGTACTCTCTCCCCCCTCAGAAAATGTACAGACCTACAGAATTTTTCTTACGATGTGAAGAGACTGAGAGACTGCTAATGAACTCAGAGACTTGCTATGTTGTTAGTAGTTACAGTAAATAATAATAACTGACATTTATTGCCTATCTGCTGTGTGCCAAGCATGGCTCTGTGTGCTTTCCAACCGTTAACTCATTTCATCCTCCCAAGCGACTCTATGACACAGGTGCTCTCATTGTACCCAACTTACAGATGAAGAGAGTGAAGACAGAGAGATTGAATAATAGGCCCAGGGTCCCATAACTAAGGCATGACAGAACCAGCAGCATACAAGCTCAGCAGCCTGGCTCTAAAGCTGGGCTTTTAACCACCAAATGATGAGGCCCCTCACAGAGCTAAATCCAATACACCAAGCAAATGTGACATCCTGAGTCATGCCCCGGAGACCGTGTCTTCGAATTCAACTACAGTAAGTGACTACTGTGTGCCAGAATCATCCAAACACATGAGCCCACCCAGCCCAGGCAACAGCACTGGAAGGGACTTGCCCCAAGACCCAGCAAACCGCAGCAGAATCCAAAGCCAAGCCTGACTTCCAACTTCAAGTTCATCAACCCACAGCTGATTCCTTTAAGTTGGGGAGATGGTCTATTCTAAGTCTCACATGGGGACCTCTGCGTGAGCAAAATCTTTTCAAGATAACTGGTGGAGGTCCAGGTTAACAGTGCAATTGGTGGACCCTCAAATATGCCCATGACGCAAAGTAATCCAGTTTTTGAGATTTTCCCTCATCCGTCTGCTTTAGCCAGCTGAGACATCTTGGATGGAGACACGCTTCCAAAAGTTTGCCCCGGGGCTCATATACATCAAGAGAATCGTCTGCATATATTGCAGACAACTACTAGGTGCTGCAGACCACAGTGCACTCATGCACAACAGAGCCTGTACAAATACGCACAAGCAAATTACATGAAAGCCTCTCAATGCTTACGGTTTCACAGTTCAAGCATCGAGTTTCATTGGTCAGCGTTCCCTGAAAAATCTCATGGACCCAGGTGAGTTCTGGTTTATTATTCTCTGCAGGTTCATTCATGTTGCCATTTTTTAATTTTCCATTTTGTTTTTCCTGTTTTTTCTCTTCCTGCAGGATGTCCGCAATAGTGTTTAGCAAATAATTTAAAAACTCGTGAGCATCCTGCTGCATGTAGTTATCAAAGAGATCTGGAAAAGAGAAGGTCATTATTTCAATCTCCAGTTCTTGAAAAGCAAACAAAATGCTTAATTTTACGTGCACACTTCAATTTTTATATTGAAATGTCAACGGGACAGGTATCACATATATTCATCTCTATTTTGCAACTTTAACGGGTAAATTTTAGAAGAATTTTTGTTCATTATCCTTTTTCCTACCACCCAAGAACTACACTTCCCCTATCTCCCTAAAGTCATCACGTATATAAACGCTACCAAAATTTTTATTTTACAGAAAACCCCAGAAATTATTTCCTAAGTTCTGTGATAAAATATCAGTATTTAATATGACGTGACCGCCAACGATCAATTATTCATTTTGCAGTTTATCGAGATGTAATTCTCCTTTTCCCAAAGATCATATTAGACCCTGGACCAGACTGGAAGCAGCTTAAATGAAACACATATGGGACATGGGGGATACATGTATCTATCTGATGGTGTTCTGAAACCAAACACAAATGATTCCAGAAGCTTACTGCTGTTCCCTGCCATAAGGACAATCAAGAGATGAATGCAGCTGTGAAACTTCATTATTAATCATGTTCGCGACAAGACTCGGGAGTGCTCTGCTTCCTGCTCAGATTATTTTTATTCTGGTACGTATAAACTACAACAACTTTAAAAGACAGCAATCAAATTAAATGAGACTTTATAAAACAAACATCTGATTAACTGTGCAAGTCTGTTGGAGTAAGGCTGAAATCTAGGATAAACACAAGTTGCCATATCAACTATTTCTAGTAGTAGAAATTACCAATGCAAAGCTTCTGGAATAACCTAGTCTCTACTACCACTTTTCCCGAAAAAGAAGATAGAAAAACCAGAAATGAAGAAAAAAAAAAAATCAGGTGACAGGTCATTTTTATAATATGAACATATCAATATCCTTCAACTGTCTTAGGCAAAAGTCAGAGGTATTATTTTTAAAACAGCAAGAGCTCTGATTAGACAATATACATTTACTTTAATCACTTATGACAAGATTTTAAGAGTACTATTTTATTCAATTATTGTACCAACCTATTTATTCGAATCAGCGTTCTGCTTAGAAGGCTGCCTTGGGCAATTTTCTCTCTCACAATGGTCCTACCCAGGAAAAACTCCTCCCAATGTGGAGCAAATAAAAAGACCATTCCAAAATGGAATGATAAATCTGAATTTATAACCATGTTTTTTATCCAGTCTTAAGTTTACAGGGCGGAAAAGGAGAATAACATCTTCTTTAAAAAAAACAAAAAAGTGATTTTCAAGTAGTTGGCCAGACTCTTTTCCCTTAAAAAAAAAAAAAAAAAAAAAAAAAAAAAGAAAGAGGGGAGATTCATTTGGAGGATCCACAGAACTATGAATTCTTATTTTGGACCCTTAAACACATTACTCACCGTTCTCTTTTCTCAGCCGCGAAATGAACTTCTTTGGTGGGATCACGCCAACCTTCTTCTTCTGCGTGGCGATGCTATGGAAGAGGTCTGCCAGGCACGTCAGTAAGTTTTCCTTCTTTTTTTGCTGGGCCTTGTATGCCAGCACATTCTCCCGGAACGGCCGGCAGAAGTACAATGCCTGCAGCACAGAGTTACAGTAGCACGTGTTTCCGAACTGCCAAGGGACAACAAGGGATGCTTCAGTTCATGGTCTGGAGAAGTCCACCCTCCAGGAACCAGCCCAGATTTCCCAGTAGCAGTGTCCTGCTCGCCATGCTAGAGACTAGTAAACCCCTCGCAACACCAGGGACTATCTGAGCAACAGGGAAACGAATACAAGTTTACATCAGCCTGGGGTCTCTCTGGCCCATAAAAGTCCCTAAAATGATAAGTACTGAGCCTTGATTTAAAAAAAAAAAAAAAAAAATCTGGGGCGCCTGGGTGGCTCAGTCGTTAAGCATCTGCCTTCGGCTCAGGTCATGATCCCAGGGTCCTGGGATCGAGCCCCACATCAGGCTCCCTGCTCAGCAGAGAGTCTGCTTCTCCCTCTCCCACTCCTCCTGCTTGTGTTCCCTCTCTGGCTGTGTCGCTCTCTGTCAAATAAATAAACAAAATCTTTAAAAAAATAATAATAAAATAAAATCTAAGGAGACCTTCTGGTGCTTAAAAAAAAAAAAAAAAAAGGAGGGACGCCTGGGTGGCTCAGTCAGTTAGGCATCTGCCTTCGGCTCAGATCATGATCCTGGGGTCCTGGTATCAAGCCCTGTGTCGGGCTCCCTGGTCAGTGGGGAGTCTGCTTCTCCCTCTCCCTCTGGCTGCCACTCCCCGTGCTTGTGCTCTCTCTCTGACAAATAAATAAAATCTTAAAAAAAAAAAAGAGAGAGAGAGAGAGAGAGGAGAAAAATGGACATAATATGGAGACCCAGGAAAGTAGCTGTCTAAATAAGAGAGGCCATGTTGCAACAAATGGAAACTCCAATGACAGAAAATAAAAATCCAAATCAGAAAGAAATCCAGGAACTAGGAACTATTTGCTCAGGTGAAACAGCCTTAACTACACGGACACTTGTTTTAGTTTTTCCTGTTCAAGATTCTGGTGGCCCTGCGCATTGCTTCAGAACGCATGTCGTCACTCACTCCAGAGCCACAGAGGCAAAGAGGTGCCTCCCTAGGTCATCCCACCAGCTTCTTCCCCTCAAACTCCTAAGTCACCCTCAATCTGGTTTCTGCCAAGATGGCAAGCGTCCCAACACAACAGCACTCAGTTCCTAGTCTCCTACATAATCACGAGGACTCACACCATAATATTTTGTTCCTCACAAAAACCATGGCTACTCAGATGATGATTAAAGAGGAAAATGCCATCATGTCATCGGTTTTCGACAGACCGTGACACCAACTCTGTGGAAGAACACCGTCGAGACTATCACTCTCCCTTTAGAATTTTCCACCCACAGGAAAACGAAAAGGAAACAATTTAAAGAAATCACAAGATTAATAACATAGATTTCAAAATGCTGTGTAAGATTAAAATAGAATATGAACATCTTCTCAAAACTGGTTGTTGGCTTGTGTGTCATTTTCCCAAGAGTGAGACAGATGCTCTGCCATACTTAATGGGACATTTCTACGTATGCTAAGATAGAACATTTCCTATTTTTACATGTTTTAATCTACTTTGACACAATTATGTAATAGGAGACAAACCTCTCTTTAAAGAGAAGCTGGAACTTTCATGAATTACCATTCGAAGTGAACATAAATGAAGCTATTAATAAATTTAATCTCACAACACTTCCACAAACTAGGAAACGGCTTTAATTCTTTTTTACCCCATTTGTGTTTTCTGCTAAGGCAGAATTTCTCACAATTTGAATAACTATCTTCATAGGGCTAAGCAGAGGCCTGTGCAAAATGGCTAAAAAAGCTATTAAAATTAGAAGTCAGTATTTTGCCAACACAACGCCCTATATTCTAGTGCTTTAGACTTCCTCCTTACATCCGCTTCCCTTTGACTCAGTGCCTCCACCTTTACCTGGACACCCTTTAGTAATGCTTGGCCCTGATCCAGGGGATGACTCCTGGGAAAGAAAAGGAACTAACATTCACTGAGTGTCCACAATGTGCCTCAGCCTCATGTCAGGATCTTCAATAGGAGCTCTCACTGATCCTTCACTATATAACCCAAGAGATAGATGTTGTATGGTCTCCATTTTACAGATGGGGAAATGGAGGCTCAAAGAGGCCAAGCGACTTGCTCAAGATTACACAGCTAATAAATAGCTGGGCATAACTCAGACTTAGGTCTGTATTACTTCAAAGCCAACGTTCTTTCCATTAGCCACAAGTAGCATTCCCTCGCTGAGAATATGTCTAGCTTCCCCAGTGGCAATTACTACCTGTTACACTTGGGTACTGACAGATTCTGCTCAGAGCAGCTGTTCCGGAAAACCAGGTACTTATGAGTTAACACCGGGTGTGTGGAAAACCTCCAGGCCGGAGGAAAGGATCAGGCGAGGAAGAATGCTCACAAGGGTTGCAGGTAATACTGCCTTACTACCTAGTCATAATCAACTTACCAAGGAAGCAGAACCTGCTAAGTGCGGCCATACACGAGGGGGCCAGGGCTGGGCACCAATAAAAGGAGGCCAAGGAAGTCTGAGATCCAGCGATCCCGGCTTCCCCCCAAACAACCTGCCCCTGTTTTCAGTACCACTGTCAAATTATATTGTTGAACAGTTACTGCCAACGAGCTGGTAACACTTTTAAAATTCTGGTTGTACTGATGCATATTGAAACAAAGACTGCCTAAGGAGCTCACCCAGATGATACAAGCAGATCTGGCCATAAAGTCTAATAAAATGGTGCCAAAAGTTATGTGTACAAAGGAAATCTTGTAAGCAGAGATGGAGAAGTGAGAATCCGACCCAACAATGCAGTAATTAAACCTTTTTTTCCAGGACAACTGACACTTTCAAAAACTGGACTAATCTTCTCCCTCCCCAACATTTACCATTCCTAGGAACTAAGGCACATGAACAATTATTTAAAAATTTGTAATAAGGAAAACTGCCATGGAGTTGCTTCAGTACTCTAAAACATTTGATAAAAATAATACATTTTTGAATACTTACGTTGACCAATCCAAAGTAGTGTTCATTGATTGGAAACTGCTCTGGACCAATGTCTTTTTCCAGAGCAGAGGCATTGGTGCCCTAAAAGAGAAAAATAAAAGTTCTGCTGTAGGTAAAATGGACAACAGACTCTTAAGACAGTCCACTATTGATACCCCTGGTCCTCATGGTGGTTGGTGATGTTCATGCTAGGAAAACAGGTGTCAGAAGTAAATCGGTAAATGAATTAATAATGTCAGCCTTATTCTTTTCCTTATGCAACTTAATCATCCCTTCAAACCTGTTCTACTTGGCTTTAATTATCTTCCACTATGAAAGTTGGTTTGAGATAGGCAAGTAAGCAAACTATCATTAAGAACTCGTGAATAAAACATGTTTAAGCTCAGCAGTTTTTATAATACTTAGTGGTATAAAGATTCATATCACCATTCTTGAAGTCAATTTCTTCATTCTGATGAAGATTTATTGTGCACCCACTATGTGCCAGGCACTGTTCTAAGCACTGACAACATAACAGTGACCAAAACAGACAAGGAAGCCCACTCTCATGGAGCTTATGTTTTAGCGGATGCAGACAGCTGGAAAGAAAAAGCAAATACGCGAGATAGTATCCTGGAAAGCGGTTAAGTGCAGTGATGAAAAACAAAGTAGGAAATGAGGGTGTGGACCTCTGGGAGGAGGGGTGAGGAGAGGCATGGGGGTGGGGTGGCAGGTAGACAGCTGAAGCTTTAAATGGGGTGGTCAGGGAAAAGCCTTACCTGGGAAAGTGAAATGTCTAGGGAATACGGTGAATAAGGAAGCAATACACTTTAAAACCCAACACTTCCCAAATACATCAAATTGGTAAGTCATGTGAAGCCACGTTTAACGCTCCAACTAGATGGTGGGAAGTTACTGGGTAGTCCTACTGCGTGCCAGGGATTGTGCTATTTATTCTCACAACAATCCTACAGGTAACATAAGGTTTACGACAGTTAAAAATCTGCCCAAGGACCATGGTCAGTAAGCGGTCGGTAAGTGGCAGAGCTAGGCCTTGAACCCAGGAGTCACAGTTGGGAGCCCATGATCTTAACAAATGCTAGGCACAGCAACCATATCAAACAAACTGCTAAGGGCCAAGTGGCCATAGCAATACCACACTGATCACCACTGCTCCCCTAAGGCCCAGATGAGTCTGCTGGGATGAGGAAAAGTGACCAAAGTTCAGTCCAATAAGGTAAGTAGTTTGGAGGGGGGATCAGGCTCCACATCTTCCCGTGGTTCTACCATCCCTCTACAGCCTTCTCACGTCCTCAGGCTAACCACAGAAGGCTCAGTTCACAGAATATCAAAGATGGGGGGATATGTATTATAGAAAGGAAGAGACACTGTTATGTTTTATAAAAAAATAAATCTGTTGCTGCTACTTATTTTGATTCATATATTTAGCATCTCCTCTCACAGGAAGAAATGGCCAAAAGGTGGGCCGAGAATAAGTCAAAATGGTCACTTGTCAACAAGAAAATGTTAAATACAAAATAACCCAATTTTAAGCAAACAGAACCACAGCAGAAATGGCAATTCCATCCCCTTGTCATGATATCCTGTTTTCCTGTGTCTTCTAGGTCCATTATACGGCCCACCAAGCTGAATTCCTTTTCCTGTCATGTGAGACTTTGAGTTGAGTGGTCATCTGTGCGTTCAACAGTTTCATTTTTTGTGTGTATTTCATCACCTTTCACAATAACGCAACCCCATATACAATGCTGAATCTTTTAAATGGTACTTACCATATTATAGCAGGATTTTATGGTACAGACAAAATCACTAAAAACTTTCAAAAAAGCTACATCTCAATCATAAATCAATATAAATAATGCATATTAAATATACCCACAGCCATATCTGAAGCAACATTAGAATATATGGCTTCGAGCCCAGGAGGAATGTCAGATATAAAAGTACAGCACATGGAGACAGAGCTCATTAAATCTCTCTTTATGAGGTAGCCATATATTCAAGTTAATCCATGATTTTTGCTATTCAGGAATTCTTGGATCGAGTCTGCTTTGTTCTACCTATCTTACTACTTTCCCATTGGAGGGGGAGTTGGGGAAGTGATCACTCATACAGAGGGCAATGTTTAAGAGAAATAACTGGTCAAAACACCTGCCCTTCTGAGGCCCACGCCTCATAACGCTTGCAAGGCCCTTCCTGTCTCCTCTGCTTGGCTGACCTCCACTCACGGAAGACCCACCTTTACCTGCCATCTCCTGCCATCATCTGGGGTAGTCTCCATCCCCATGTGGAGGAGCATTCCAACAGCCTGCTCTCTCAGTAACTGGATGTCCTATTGTTCAGCTGTCTTTTAGTCCACGCCACTCTGGCACCTCACTCCCAAAGATGTACTCGGGATCTGCTCTCTGCCCTAAAGTCAATCCGGGCTCAGCTCTGCCTGCTGGCTTTCTGAAGCATCCCAGCACCATGGCTCCATTTACTCCCCAGAGCCACTCATTCCTCTTCTTTCTTATTCAGCTTAAGAGTCTAGGGATCATGATTTCCACTGCTCTTACAAACAACCCTAACCTTGTCCTTTGGGCACACCACCTAGCAAAAAACGAACCCAGTAGGAACCAAATTGTCCACCTTCTCTGAACACACACACCCACACAGATGTGCAACGCTACTGGAAGTCACACAGCCAAGCTGACTGGATTCACCCGAATTCACCAAAGTGGACCCGAACGTGTCCTGCTTCCAACAATGTCTCTTCAGGGCACTCATTCTCCACACCACCATGACTATTTCCAACTTTCCCAGAGCTCATCAAAACTTCCACACCCCCTAGATCTCTTTTGTGATTCAATGGGGAAAATTTTTTTTAATTGAACTAAATTAAACCAGCAGAGAGGAACTCCCTTAATTTCACTCCCAAATCTTCCAACCTATGTCCCTCTGTTAATGAAGGCGATCTCTCTCTTGTCCAAGCCGATGTCTCCTCTACGGTTAGATCCTTCTCATCAGAATTGAACATGCCTGTCCTGAAGGCTTGTGGCAGCTGTTGACATCATGTCATTTCGGCCCAGTGCTCTGAATGTCAAAGTGAAGAATTCAGCATGCCTCAGTGCCTCTCCCACTAAAAATACATGCGTGCACACTCTCCCACATCTCTCCCCCGGTGACGTCCCCCCGTGTTCTTGTCCCATCATAGCTCAACTTCTTTAAAGAACTCTATTCTGAAACAACTATAGATGAGTCAGTAACTTCTAAGATTTGTTTTAATCCAGTGGTGAGGGGCACCTGAATGGCTCAGCCAGTTAAGTGTCTGCCTTCAGCTCAGGTCATGATCCCAGGGTCCTGGGATCGAGCCCTGCTCAACGGGAGCCCGCTTCTCTCTCTCCCTCCGCCCCTCCACCCTGCTTGTGCTCTCTCTCATGTGCGCACACGCTGTCTCTCTCCCTCTCTCAAATAAATAAATAAAATCTTAAAAAAAATAACCCAGTGGTGAGGTGGGGAGAAATGGGGACAGAGTGCGTTGTTGAAGCTGAGTGCTGGGTATATGGGGCTCCTTATACTGTTCTGTTTATACTTGAACATGTATGTGTATAGGCAGAGTAATGGTCTTCCAAAGATGTCCACATCCTCATCCCCAGAACTTGTGATTACATTACCTTACATGGCAAAGGGAAATTCAGGCTGTAGATGCGATTAATTTGCCAATCAGCTGACATTAAAATAGGGGGACTGTCCTGGATTCTCTTGGTGGACCCAATGTTATCACAAGCATCCCTGAAAGTGGGAGACAGAAGCAGAATGATAGATCAGAGTGATGCCAAGTGTGAAGGACTTAACCAGCCTTTGCTAATTTTGAAGATGAAGGAAGGGGGCCAGGAGCCAAGAACACAGGCAACCTCCGAAAACTGAAAAAGGCAAGACACAGTCTCTGCTAGAGCCTCCAGGAAGAACACAGCCCTGTACTGCCTTCATGTTAGCTCAGGGAGGCCCATTTCAGATCTCTAACCTCCAGAACCGTAAAATGAAAACTCTGGATTGTTTAAGGCACTGAGTTAATGGTAATTTGTTATAGCAGCAATAGGAAATTAACACAATTTGTTAGAGATTGTCCATAATACTCTGTAAGACTTGGCTCTTTCCTCACCTACACATCTCTCATCTGGATTCTACCCCCACTTCATCCCTGATGTGCGCCAAACACCGCCAACTCCAGGGGGCACATTGAGCTGCTGGCTTCTCCAGGCACTGAGGCCCTCATTTCTCTTCTCTGTGCCCCTCTAGGGTGCAAGCAATAACCACTCATGTGGCCTCAAGCAGCAGCTATCATTTCCAACTTCATTTTCATCCCAGAAAACTTACTTCTGAGGTCATTCAGACTGGATGAGTATTGATGTTTCCAATGGCTTGTCTCACAGGCCCTCAAAATCAGTGTACTCCAAACTAGAGCATTCCCTTTGCGTTCCCCCCAAATCCAACCCTTTCCTGGTGTTTCCCCCACAGAGTAAATGACAATGTGGCCTCCTTCCTGGCCAACACTAGATCTACCATGGGGGTCTTGCCCAACCCACCCACCACTATGTCTTTGGGTTCACTTTCCTCCAATCTCTCAGGGCCATTCACTTCTCTTTAATCTCCTGTCATCACCAGCAAGGCCAGGCCACTGGCATCTCTCACCTGAATTATGATAGCGTCCTAAGCGGCCTCCAACACCCGTGTGCCCACCTCCAACCCCACGTCAACATGTCAACACAAGTCAGCTGTCAACGCGGCAGCACAAGTATTCTTTGTAAATACAACTCTACTCTAAAACCACCAGTGACTCCCCCTGCTGTCTCCACAGTCACCTCTTGCCACCCACTACTTGGCCTGTCACAACAGCCGTCGTTCTGTTCCTCACACATCTCAGCACACCTCAAATTCCATCCCACACCCCACCCGAAGGCTCTTCCCCAGTTTCTTCACCTGGATGTACCCCACCATCCTTCTCAGGGAACTCCTCACTGACCACCCCCAGGCTCTGGGAGTGTCTGTCACAGAAAGAATAATGCCCCTCAGAGATGTCTGCACCCTAATCCCTGGAGCCTGTG